TCCTGGTTCCCATGATGTGGCTAGAAACCAGAAAAATCGCTCAGGTCTTGAACGGTGGTCAGACTTGAGGTAACTAATAGTATATATCATATTATGTGCCTTAGGACAAGTTACTGGTTTAGTAGAGATAATAAAAGGTAGTAAAAAAAGGACTCTACTGACGAACAAACTAAAATTAGAGACAAAAGTGACTCTGCTGATGAACAAACTGAAAATAAACGTAAAATAGGACTCTACTGACGAGCAAATTGTTTAAAAAATAAGCAATCGCAGATAAGCACTGAGACAAGAAAACTTTACTGATATATAAACTAATATAAGAAAAGAAAAATGACTCTACTGACGAGAAAACTAAGAGAGAAACTAAAAAAGAAACTCTACTAACTAAAAAGCGACTCTACTGACGAGCAAATTGATATAAAGAGACAAAAAAGGTTTCTACTGACGAGCAAATTGATATAAAAGACTAAAAAGAACTCTACTGACAAGAAAATGGATATAAAAGGCAGAAAAGAACTTTACTGATGAGGAAGTTGATATAAAGAACAAAAAAGGACTCAACTAACAAGCAAATTAATATAAAAGACAAAAAAGGACTCTACTGACAAGCAAACAAAAATAATAAACAATAAAGGACTTTATTGACGAGCAAATTGATATAAAAGACAGAAAAGAACTACTGACGAGCAAATAGATATCAAAAAACAAAAAATGGCTCTACTGACACGCAGATTAATATAAAGAACAAATGACTTTATTGTCGAGCGAACAAAAATAAGAAACAAAAAAGGACTCTACTGACAAAGAAATTTAATAAAAAATACGAAAAAAGACTCTACTGACAAGCAAACTGAAATAAAAATGACTCTACTGGTGAGCCAATTAATATAAAGAAAAACTCTACTGATGAGCAAACGAGAATAAAAAACGAAAGAGAACTGTACTGTCGTCTAGAAAATTGATATAAAAGACTAAAAAGGACTCTACTGACTGGCAAACTAATATATAAATAGAAAAGAACCCTATTGTCGAGCAAATTGATATGAAAGACAAAAAAGGACTCTACTGACAAGCAACTAAAATATAAAATAAAAAAGAACTCTAATGACAAGCAAATTGATATAAAAGACAAAAAATGACTCTACTGACGAGCAAATTAATATAAGGACTGAAAAAGACTTTGCTGACAAGCAAATTAATATAAAAACCAAAAAGGACTCTACTGTCTAGCAAACATTACATCGAAAAAGAGATTCTACTAATAAGCAAACAAAAAATAACGAGGAAAAGGAACTCTACTGACGAGCAATTTTAATATAACACATTAAAAAATCTTTACTGACGAGCAAATTGATATAAAAGACAAAAAGGACTCTACTGACCAGAAAATTGATATAAAAGACAAAAAAGCAAACAAATTGGATTCTACTGAGGATCACAACATGATTAAAATAGGACTCTACTGAAAAACAAAAAAGGACTCTATTGACAATCAAAATAAAATAGAAGACAAAAGGACTCTACTGACGAGCACCGATTTGAAGAATAACAAAATAGACTCTACTGACGACCAAAGTGAAATAAGAACAAAAACACTTAAACAAGCTGAAAATACAGTAAGAAGAAGAAGGGACTCTACTGACGCCCAAACTGCAAGGAGTTGGCAACAGAATTTTACTGACAAGGAAAGCAAAAAAACAAGAGTGAAAAGAAACTCTACTAATGAGCAGACAAAACAATGCCTGGACAGACAACAATAAAAGAAAAAGGGACTCCTTTGATGAACAAAGTAAAAAAAATAGTGCTATTTATGTTTTCCTTAAGACACATTCATTTTTGGCATATAAAAGAATTTTATTTTATCCTACTCTAATAGTATTATAAGAGAGTTTATTCGCTATTAGATTCATCAAACATAAAAGTACCTTATGCAAAAAATCGAGAAGGTGACATAACCTCAAAATAACCAAATATAATTAATTCCTGCTCGCTATCTAATCATACTGTGAAATATGACAGAACAAATCTATCTGATGTAAAGTTATTATATAAATTATTAATTTAGCGTAATATCGTCTCATGAAATAACGTTGTCATGGCAATGCAATCTTATGCTTGTTTATTCACAGTGAAACTGAAAAAATGTCTATCTAGTTGCTGTGCTATCAGGCGTATTTTACTTATAAACAATCGCGAGAAAGGAAGAATGTTATGATAACGGAATCTTCAAACATTCTTCCTTGCTTGTTTATATGTAAAATACGCCTGATCGCACAGCAAACAGATAGACATTTTCACAGTTTTCACTACCAATTGCCCCATTAATCACTTAATTCGTGTTACTGTTAATATTAATCTATTTTTAGTTGTGTTACCAGAGAGTGTCCGGAAAAGTGTTACCTATCAAAATGCACAGCAAGTCGCTCTTCATATCGATTTTGATACCGATAATGTCGACAATGTCGGTAGTGGTGACGCACGTCACCATGGTCGAATTTCACGTATTCCAGGTAATAACAGATAAATATCATATTCACTAAAATAATTTTTCAACACCAAATGGCATTTTTTCCCTGCAACTCCAAAGTCTTTGCAAAACTTTAAATTCTTCATTACATCAATACAAGTAAAATGTATTTTGAATCATTCAAATCGGATGATCCGTTCTCTCAAAAACTCGATTACCTTTTTTGCACAGTAGCTCCGAAATGTTTGGACCTGTCTTTCAAATATTAAATTTCTAATCTATTTTTTTATCCAGGTGATTCCTTACTGTTTTTTGGATACTTTAACCTACATGTTGGGCGCTTATTGGTACCTAATGTGTGGCGTCATCGGCGAAACCGCCACCGAGGTCGCTGAAGACTTTCAAGTGGTAAGAGATGGTTGTAAACTCGGATAAGCTTTTTGTCTTAAGACATAATATAAAAGCACCTTACAAAATAATAAAAACTTGTTTTAAGAGTCCCGTTTTAATATTGTTTTAGTTTGCACTTTAGTAGAGTTTAATATTAATTGTTTTGTATTTTGGTTTAGTAAAAACTATTTGTTTACTAGTAGAGTTCCATTTTATCATGTTGCATTTCTTCTTACTTACTCTTATTTCAGTTCAGCTCGTCAGTAGAGACCTTTTCTTAATCACTTTTTTTTCTTTTTTTCTTGTTTTTGTTCGTTCGTCGGTAAAGTTCTCTTAATTATCTTTTGTCAAAAATTCATTTGCTCGTCGGTAGAGTTCTCGTTATTATTGTTTTTCGAAAATCCGTTTGCTTGTCAGTAGAGTTCTATTTTTACCTAAATTGCTAGTCAGTAGAGTTTCTTTTGTGTTTTAATTTACTTTTCTTCTTAGTAGAGTCCTTTTTTATTTGCTTCTTTAGCTTGCTCGTCAGTAAAATACCGTTTTCTATTTTATGTTTTAGTTTACTCATCAGTAGAATCCGTTTTTTTTATTCTCGATCAGTTTGTTCGTTAGTATAGCAATTTTTTTTATTTTTTTTTATTTTTTTTTATTTTCTCACTCGGTTTGCTCGTCAGTAGAGTCTCTTTTTCATTTTCTTCTCTTTATATTTTCTGTCTCAGTTTGCTCGTCAGTAGTGTCCTTTTTTATTGCCTTTCTTAAGTAGCGTGTCAGTAGAGTCCCTGTTTTATTTCTTATTCAGTCAGTAGAGTTCCTTGTTTTCCGAATTTAGTTAAAACATTAGTAGAGTCCGTTTTATTCATAACGTCTTCAATAAAAAAGAGCTCCTTTTTTAATATTTCATTAGTATTTTTTCCAAGTCCAAGTTCGATTTGCTCATCAGTAGAGTCCCTTCTGCTTTAACATCCAATAATAATAATAACTAGTTGGTATTGGTATTTAGTCATGAGGCAAGTTACATGAACTTCTCGAAATGTGTACATAATCGACTTAATCAATAATAAACAAATTAATTTATGAGTAATTAGAAGTATTCCGAGAAAATATATTACACATAATTGAACACGAACAAACACTTTGACTCGCAGTATTTTCTAAAAGCAAATGTTCACAAATCAATAATTTTAATAATTGAACCGGTTTCCGTAGGATTTTAATGGTTTAGTATGTTCGAGACCAAGTACACTATCGTTATACCAACTAAATCATCTAATTTTATTTTTAACATACGTCAAAAGGCTTCTCATTTTCTCAAACTTTGATGAATTTTTAAAAAGAAATTACTTGTCGTAAGGCCGTAAATTTTTAGTTCTATAAGACCATGATATATATCGCCAAAAAAAGTTCCATAAAAATCGGCTTCAATTTTTTTTTCCAACAGTTAATTACAAGAAAACGGCTCAGTAGATTTTTATCTAAATCTAATCAGTATCATTCCCAACTAAAATCTTCCGAACAATTTTTGATTTTTTTAAATCGGTTCGGTAGTTTTATGTAAGTGGATGAAAAGTTTAACACTTTTTTTTCAAATTACAAAGAAACGGCTCGGCAGATTGTCTCATAAATAGTCCTCATTGAGATACATCAAATGGTTTTTAAATTTCTGAAATCGGTTCAGGCGTTTTTGAGAAAACGTCGATCAAAAATCTAACTTTGACAAATGCCAAAAAAACAATACCAATTTTTGCAAACTTTGAAGAATTTTCAAAATTAAACGGCTTGTCGTAGGGCCGTCATATTTTAGTATGATCTATAAGACTATAGTATCTACCGTCAAAAAAAATCATAAAAATCGTCATTTTTTTTTTTTTAAACTTTATTAAAAGAAAACGGCTCGGCCGATCGTAATAACTAAAAACTAATCAGCACGATTCCCAATCAATATCTTTCGAACGGTTTTTGAATTTTCAAAATCGATTCAGAATTGCGGGCTAAAACGTGCACGAAAGAGTTTTCACTTTTCTGCGATTTATAAAGAAACGGCTTGGCCGATCGTCGCACAAAACAATAGTTCTCGTCGAGATACATCGAATGGCTTTTAAATTTTAGAAATCGGCCGAGAAAACGTCGATTTACGGCAAAAAATCTGTTCACACATACACACACATACACACACACACATACTATTTCCAAATTTGGTCTCATTCGATTCAGAATGGCTTGAAACGTTCAGGAGAAAACATAAAATTAGCGAATCGGATTTTTTGATGAAAATATAAACTTCTCCTTCGGGAAGTTAATAATAAAAAGAATTCTACTAACGAGTAAATTCGGAAATTATTAGTGAAGTGTTCTTTCATATGCACTGTCCTTCAGTTACTTTCTAGTCGCGCCTAAAGAAGTTTTACTTCAAAACAAAATATATCCTTTACTATTCTTTTCCCACAGGCTCTCCGTCACATAGGCCCCGCCGCCCTCGTGGCCGACTACCGCGGCCTCTGGCTGCGCCTCAGCAGGATGACCCGAGACACAGGCCTGGCAACCTGCTACACATTTACATTCATCAACCTCTATCTGTTCCTGATCATAACACTGTCGATCTACGGACTTATGTCGAAGATAAACGACGGATTCGGCACTAAAGACATCGGACTGGCCCTTACCGCCTGCTGCAGCGTCTGCCTGCTGTTTTTCATATGCGATGAAGCTCATTATGCATCTAGCAATGTAAGTAGAGTAAAGGACTCATTTGTGTATTTTAAGGGCCGATTCTGCCTTATAATAGACCAATGTTATGGCAAGGCCATGTTACACTTCCATACATTATGCTAATATATAATATATTATATTTTAATATTGTCTTAACTCACAAGTGAATTATAATATTTAGCGAATGACAGTCTTCATTTGTTTTCAATGCCAAACAATGTCTCAATTTTTTTCAATGTCAAACAATGCTAAGCGGTATTCTGTAATTGTTTCTATTTATTTCTACAATCTAACTACATTTGTATGATTCAAAAAATCCTAAAAAAATCCCTTAACAAACTTCAGAAAGATTTATCAAAATCCGAAAAATCGTTTACGATAAGTATAATTTTATGCATCGTTACAGAAAAATTGTATATATATATATATATATATATATATATAAATATATAAGAATCATACTGTCAAAATGTCCATGTGGTTGCTAGGCATTCAGGCGTATTACATGTAAACTGCAACGTCACTAGTATGTTATGAAGCTGAGCCAGAAACATCCTGTTATCTAAGATCGTTCTATTGACATTTGTGCGGTTTCTAGGTTAGGTTTTCTATCCGACAATCTGAGAAATACGCCTGACTGCACCGCAACCGCATGGCTTTTGTCAAAATTTAGTTAGGAAAGTTCTTCATAACATAACCTTGCCATAACACTTGTCTGTTATGCGGCAGAATTGGTCCATTAAATGCATTTTTATTTTGCCTTAAGGCAAGCTGCATGAACTTTTCGATACGAAGAGTCACTTTGTTAGTTTGTTTCTTAGTTTGCGAGTTTTTTTAAATAATATTCGTTCTTATTTTGCTCGTCAGTAAGTTCCCTTTTTTAGTTTGCACGTCAGTAGAGTCCCTTTTTATTTTCTTCCTCGATTTGATCGTCAGTAGAGTCCCTTTTTAGTTTTTTCGTCAGTACAGTCCGTTTTTTATTTTTTTTCTCTGTTTGATCGTCAGTAGAGTCACTTCCTTAGTTTGCACGTCAGTGTAGTCCCTTCTTTAGTTTGCACGTCAGTAGAGTCCATTTTTCATTTTCTTTCTCAATTTGTTCATCAGTAGAGTCTCACTTGGCTCGTAGGTAGAGTCTATTTTTAATATCATTATCGCATCTTGCTTATCAGTAGAGTCACTTTTCATATAGTTTTTATTTTTTTATCATTGGAAGAATCATATGTTATTTTATTAGTGTTGCCATATGAGATAAAATATATGGACGAGAACAGCTATTACACTTATAGTAACATTTTGTACCGTTTTTGTATTTTGCTCGTCAGTAGAGTCCTTTTTTGTCTTTTATTACAGTTTACTCGTCAGTAGAGCCCATTTTTTATACCGTTTCTGTCCATAGAGTCTTTATTTATTTGTTATTTAAGTTTGCTAGTCAGTAGAGTCTCTTCTTAATTTTCTTTGTATTTGTCAGTAGAGTCCTTTTGTCCTTTTTATCAGTAGAGTCTCTTTTTATTTACTTCTTTAGTTTCTTCGTTAGTCTCATTTGTGTCTTATTTCAGTTTGCTTGTCATTAAAGTCTGATTATAATTTTAACTCATTTCTGCAATTTGTTCGCTAGTAGAATTCATTTCTTATATCGTGTTTGTATTTTGCTTGTCAGTAGAGTCCATTTTGTCTTATATTTTAATTTGATCGCCAGTATAGTCCCTTTTCTCTTTTATTTCAGTTTGCTTTGTCAGTAGTATTTTAAGTCACTATTTAGTAGAGTCCCCTTCTTTTCTTTCAGTTTGCTCGTCAGTAGAGTCCTCTTTCATAATTTTTTTATATAATTATTCTTTAAGGTTCAAACAAATTTCCAAAAAAAGCTCCTAATGGTCAACTTGTCCTGGATGAACATCGCTGGCCAAACGGAGGTCCATCAGTTCCTAAGGGCCACGGAAATGAACCCGTCGAATATCAGTTTGGGCGGATTTTTCTACGTCAACCGAAACTTATTCAAATCGGTAAAAATAATAAATATATATATATATATATATATATATTATAATTATTATTTATAATTGTTTTTGTTATAATAGTTATTAGCGACCATGGTGACCTATCTGGTGGTTCTTCTGCAGTTCCAAATCAGCATTCCGACAGAATTGGGGGTTCCGGTTGACGAAAACACTACTATGAGTTCTAATATAAATTAATTAATATCATTATAACTAATGTATTTTTTTGTTGTAGATGGTATTTGAATTAAAAGTTATCTAGTTTAAATGTTTTTTAAAATCTTTAACGCCATATTTGACAGTTTTGATTCTATATTTGACAGTTTCGACTGTCAGAAATGCTTCAGACTCCATATTTGACAGTTTTGACAGGGTAAAAAATCGAAATCTTTGAAGTCAAATAGTTATTACTTAATAATTGTATCCTTATGTTGTAGTTTAAATATTTAAATTAAATTCTATCCTTATCATGATGTTTGTTTACTATTTATTGCTAATTGTTAACTTCACATTTAACATTAACCCCTGCGCCATATTTGACAGTCAAGTGTCAACATGTTTGAACTGTCAATAAATTTGCGACACACTTCACAATTGAAGACAATTACGCCATATTTGACAGTTGGACACAAGCTTTATTTTAAAACTAATAAAAACGAATATCACTTTTGCCTGTAATCTAATTTGTCCAAATTAAACCTTGAACCTTGATTACAAGACCAAAGCTCGTACAACTGAAAAACAAACAATTTCTAAATAATAATGAATAAATCAATTTTGAATTTGAGTTTCCTTCAAATAAGTCACGTGTTATTCATGCGCCATGTTTGACAGTTTTGACAGTTCATACATTTAAATATCAATAAAATCAAAGTAAAAATCAAGTAAAAATAAAAATATAAATAATTAAATATTTGAATTTATGAGAAATAACAATTAAACATTTAAATTTATCATATTATTTTTATGTTAAGAAAAAATCTTGTATTAGTAATCTTTTACCTTTTATATTATTTTTATCTTATGCATTCTCAAGACCAAAGTATGAATCCCAATGAAAGATCTAAATATATTTCTTTAATAGTATTATTTACTGCATCGGTTTAATTTAATTTTATTTATTCTATTATTAAATTTCTATGTTTCTATTACCTTTTATGCTACTTAATAAAATTTGCAAAATATTCCGACAAACACAAATCGAAATTACAAAGTTGACCTCAAGAAGCCCTTATTAGGAATTAGAAAATTGAAAGTAGCAGAAACCTTGACAATTTTCACACAAAGCACATTATTTATATATTTATATATATATATATATATATATATATATGTATATATATAAATATATATATATATATATATATATGTATATATCTCCTTTTCAAATGTGATCAGAATCAGTTTTACGACTTTTACAATTTATTTCACGCTTTAAGTTAACGATTAATTTTTAATTAACAATCATCGAGTGTTTAATTTAATTTCAATTAAACTGAATAAAACAAATTAAAAATTTTATTACCATTTTGTGGCAAGAATTGACAGCAAGAAAGAGTTGTGCCTCTTTCATAGACAAAAATGAACAAAATTAAAACAAATTAAGGAACAAAATTTTACTTTAAATGAATTTTATACGATTGTTGGGTTGTTAGTTAGTTATATGTTATCATTATTTTTTATGCGTTTATGAAAAAAATTGCAATAATATAGTTTCAACAATTATTTACGAAAAAAACAGTCTGGCAGATCTTTACAAACTAATTATTAGCGTCATCATTGACAGATTTTTTTTTTATCGGTTTTGGAAGATATTATGTTATATATAATATATATTGATAATATAATGAGATTTTAACACAAAAGCCCTATACATATTGCATATATACAATATATTATATGTCCTACCTACGATTTTATCGCTAACCACATCTATTGTGTCCCACGCGAAACACGGCCGATGACGCCATAAATTATTCTGACGTAATTGGATAACAGTCAAGTGCATAATTTATATATATATATATATATATATATATAAATATATTAGCAAAGACTAATAAATTTATTTAAAAATTTATATTACAATCTACACGTTTCGGATAGCTCGATAATCCTAGTCTTCATTCAGTGGAAACTAAAAATAAAATTTAGAAACTAAAACAATTGAATTAAAAAATATTATAAAGAGTCAAAAGTACATACTTTTAGTTAATGTGGAAAACAGAAAATTCAGAAATACATGGACCCCTTTTTTAAAATCCATTTTGCTATTTAATTTGCTCGTCAGTAGAGTCCTTTTTTTAAATCTATTTTGCTCGTCAGTAGAGTCCTTTTATAAAATCTATTTTGCAGTTCCGGATTTTGCTCGTCAGTAGAGTCCTTTTTTTTAAACTCATCATGCTATTTAATTTGCTCGTCAGTAGAGTCTTTTTTTAAAATCCATTTTTCTATTTAATTTGCTCGTCAGTAGAGTCTCTTTTTTAAATCTATTCTGCTATTCAAGTTGCTCGACAGTGGAATTTAAACTCGTTATGCTATTTAATTTGATCGTAAGTAGAGTCCCTGTTTTTAAAATCCATTTTACAGTTCTATATGTTACTTTGTTTTAACTATTTTTGTTTATGAATTTAAGTTTGCTCATCAGTAGAGTTCAGTTTTAATTTTCAAGATGATTTTATTTCAAGAAAATTTGCTCGTCAGTAGAGTCTTTTCCGAAATTTTAAAAAATCAAAATAAACTTACTTATAAAAAACGTCTTATCACTTCAAATTGTCATAGTGACATAAAATAAAAAAAACAAAACAAAAAATCAAAATTTCTATAATATCACGGATTTTAAAACTTTTAAAACAATAACCTCATTTATACTTTCAATATTTTTACAATTTTAAACAAAATTATCACAAATCCTGAAATAAAATCTATTTTATTAATTTTCAACCCTCAGTGCTCGAGTATTTCCAACACACACGACACAAGGTAACGACCATTATAAATGATAATAAAATAATTATATAAAATGATTATAAATGAATAAATGATTATAAAAAACAAAATAAATAAGAAAAAATCGTTCAAAAATGACAAATTTAAAGTGTTGAATAAGTTGTACACTAGTGCCGCATTAATGAATATTCATTTATCATTAGCACTCGTATTAATTTTTTGTTACAATTTATTTTTGTTAATCAAGACTTTAAATGTCTTATTTACAAAATTGATATGAGCAAAAAAAATATAAAAATACAAAAAAATGCAATAAATTGAATAGAAAATGAAAAAAAAAAGTTAAAATAAAAATAAAATGATAACAGTAATGCAACTCATATTAACGAAATCAAATTCTGTAAATAACAAAAAAGTACTGAAAAATACTTAAAATAATTTTATATTTTGTACTATTTGTTTCTTATTTCAAAAATTAATTATTATTTACATCTCTTCTAACTAGTACATTTTTAAGCAATAATTAGTTCAAAACTCAAAAAACTTTAATAATTTTCTACCCTCAGTGTTCGAGTATTTCTAACACTCGTACATTAAGCCAACGCATAGTATCTCAACGCACGTTCTAGAAGTAACCGTTCGATATTATGCACAAGTCGATACGATGGCTCGTTGGTCTAGGGGTATGATTCTCGCTTCGGGTGCGAGAGGTCCCGGGTTCAAATCCCGGACGAGCCCGATTGAAAAATATTTTATTTTTTTGCAAAATTTATTTGATAATTAACTAATTAATTAGTTTTATTAATTAGTAGTTGCAATTTGCGATCTTAACTCGCACACTAAAGGTAAAAAATAAATAATTAAATAAGTTTTGTGAGCAAATCTTATACTACTTAATATACACTTCTTTAACAAAATTTATTAATAAATTACTAATATTTATTAATTAGTTAGGTTTTATTGGTTTTTAACTATTTAATTAGATTTGTTAATTAGTTGTTGCAATTTGCGAACTTAACTCGCACACTAAAGGTTTAAAATAGTATTAAATAAGTTTTTGTGAGCAAATCTATCTTACTACTTAATATACACTTCTTTAACAAAATTCATTAATAAATTACTAATATTTATTAATTAGTTACGTTTTATTGGTTTTTAACTATTTAATTAGATTTGTTAATTAATGGTCGCAATTTGCGAACTTAACTCGCACACTAAAGGTAAAAAATAGTATTAAATAAGTTTTTGTGAGCAAATCTTACTGCTTAATATACACTTCTTTAACAAAGTTATTAATAAATTGCTAATACTTATTGATTAGTTAGGTTTTAATGGTTTTTAACTATTTAATTAAACTTGTTAATTAGTCGTTGCAATTTGCGTAATGTTTTTTTTTTTTAATTTCAATAATTATTACAACTGTTAAATTATTAACATCTAGTAATATTGATAAATAATAACATAAATTTAAATAAATAAGAGTGCAAAGGATAAAATTTACATGAAAATAATATCCGTAATATGATTTGATATAAAATATAAGCAAATAGTAATAAAAATTAAATTAATAAATATTATAAATAAAATTTTTTAATACTGTAATTAAAGATTTAGATAACCATCAGATCTGTTTTTTGGTCTCTTATAAGCTACTTAAAAACTTCTTTGAGAATTTGTTTTGCCAAAAAAAAATCCGATTTGCTAATTTTGTTTTTTCTTGGACGTTTCAAGTCATTCTGATTCGAATGAGACCAACAATTAGAACCAAAATGTGTGTATACAATTTTAAATAAATAAAACTTGTATACAGAATTTAAAGCCAAATAAAACTTTATACATAACAGTATTATTAAAAATCATTAAAAATAAAATTAGAAACATACTAAAATATTAATAACATTTATTAACTTCCCGTAGAGTAGTTATAGTAATGAGCCGAAAATCAAAAATGCAAATTTTTGCATTTCTCGACGTTTTGAATGTTTCTGAACATTTTTAAGGAAAGAGAGAAGAAACTAAATGGATGTGTGTGTGTGTTTGTGTGTGTGTTTTGTATGTCCGCATTTTTTCGTCCAAGTTTTTGGGCGCACGGATCAACCGATTTGAATGGTTTGAAAAACATTCGTTCCCTACTGATAAGGAAATGTGCTGATTAGTTTTTGGCAAAGGCAGGTCCAGCCGTTACGGAGATACGGAGCAAAGATTGCAGAAAATACAAATCGAGTTTTTGAGAGAACCGAGTATCGGAT